ACAACTGATTTTTGTATGTTGATCTTGTACTGTACTACTTTGCTGTGTCCTTCCATTTGTTCTAGTAACTTTCTTGTGGAGTCTGGGATATCCTGTGTATAGGAAGGCATCTGCAAATAAGGATAGTTTTACTTCTTCCTTTCTAATTTGGATACCCTTTAATTCCCTTTCTTGCTTTATTGCTCTAGTTAGGAGTTCCAGTACAATATTGAATAAGAGCGGTGAGAAAAGATATCCTTGTCTTGTTCCTGTTCTAAAGGAGAATGCTTTTTATTCTTTTCCACTGAAAACGTTAGCTGTTGGTTTTGCATCTGCTTTGCTCAAAACCTAAAAGAATACTGTCCCTGGGAACTGCAAAATACCCCAGCTCTGATTCTCATTTAAAATTGTAGAAGGGATAAAGACCAGAAATTAAGTAAGTAGAAAATATAGATTATAGAAAAATCAATACTATCAATACAATCAAGCACTAGTAGAAAAATCAATACTATCAATACAATCAAGCACTAGTTTTATCAAACTGCTTATATATATATATATATATATATATATATATATATATATATATAAAACTTCTGGCAAGACTGATGAAGGAAAAAAAGAGAAAGCACAACAAATATTAAGAAGTAAAAAGGGGACATAATTAGAAAGCATAAATTAAAATGACAATAAAGGAATGTTTTGAACAACTTTATGCCAATTACTTTACCTACAAGGGGCAACCAATAAGACTAAGCTTGGATTTCTCGACAGAAACCATGCAGGCAAGAAGACAATGGGATGATATATATAGAACACTGAAAGAGAAAAATTTCCAACCAAGAATTATGTACCCAGCAAAACTGTGTCCAGTGTGGGAGCCATTATGTGCCTCAAATATGATGGTGAAATTAGGACATTTCCAGATAAGTAGAAATTAATTAGAAGTTGTTAAAACCAGACCAACCTTACAAGAGATGCTAAAGGGTGCCCTTTGGACAAAGAAGCAACAACAGGCAACAACTGACCATTAACACACATGATGATATAACCCAGAAACTAACCCACCTATGGAAGTATCCAAAGTAAATAAGCCTACAAGATTGTAAACAGGGAACCAGAGACATCAATTGACAAATGAGGACAACTACAAACCAAAAAGAGGGAAAAAACTGTGCCATTACAGAACTTCTAGATGGTAGGGAAGTCAAGACAACTACAAAATAGAACAGACTGTTGTAAACTTGGGAAGAAAACTATAAATCACAGGGTAACCTCAAAGAAAAATAATAAACAGTCACATCAAAAAAGAGGACCAGCATATTCAGGAAATACTAAAAACAATAGCAATGAAGGAAGTGATGACACGATTCAGAAACAAAATGAGCTCAGCATAGAAAATTACATGGAACAAAGAAATCAACACCATGAAAAAGCACATAACAAAAATGACAGCAACAAATTCACAGTTGCCAGTAATTACATATCTGGCAAGGGACTTATCTCTAAGATTTATAGCGGAAGAGTAGACGACCAAACTATGGTACATACACATAAGGGAATGCTGTGCAGTACTAAAGAATAATGTACAGTCTGCAAAACATCGCATAGTAAGGATGAACTTAGAGGACATTATGCTGAGTGAAATGAGTAAATCACAGAAGGACAAATATAGTATCAGTTTGTTGCTGTGGAGGGTCAAGGAAAGGTTTATATATGGAGGGAAATTTTCTTTGTTGGTTGCCAGGGGTGGGAGGGGAGGGGAGGGAACACTGCAAAAAAAAAAAAAAAAATGCATTGACCCATGTCACTTTAGTTTTGTGTATTTCACTGTACATAAATTATATTTCAATAAAATGCATTAAAAAAAAAGCAGACAAAATGGATAAATTCCTAAAAATATCTTAAAAAACTGACGTAAGTAGAATCAGGAATTTTAAACAAAACTATTAAAGAAACTGAATACATACTTTTAAATCTTCCCCAAAAGAGAAAGTATTAACCCCAGACAGTGTAACAGACGTTCAACCAAACTTTTAAGAAACAGATCATTTGGTTTTCTATAAATTCTTTTAGGAGAAAAAAAAACCCAAATGACTAGTTTCCAACTCATCCTTTGAAGCTGACAGAATCAGGGTAACAAAATCTAATAAGGACAATATAAGAAATAAAAAGCATGGGCCAATTAAACCTGTAAACATAGATGTAAAAATTCTTCAACAAAACAATAACCTAGATACATATACTAAAAAAAACCCAACAAACAAACAAACAAAAAAACATCATGACAAAGTTGAGTTAATTCCAACAATGCAAGGTGATAAAACACCAGAAAATCTATAAATGCCATTCACCACATTGACGGATAAAAAAGAAAATAGGAAAAAATGATCATCTCACAGATGCAGAAAAGGCATCTGATAAAATCCAAAACTCATTCACACATCCAAAAAATCTTAGCCAACTATGAATAGAAACATCTTTAACCTATAAAGACTATCTTAAAAAAACCTACAGCAAAAAGCATTCTTAACAGTGAAAAAGAGAAAGCACTTCCTTGAAAAATGAGGTCCAACACAGGATGTCCCATATTAACACTTGTATTTAACACTGTACTGGAAGTTCTAACTAGCACAGTAAGGTCAAAAAAAATAAATAAAAGGTGGACCCATTTCATTAGAAAAGAAGAAACAACTTTCATTTGCAGTAATATAGTTGACTACACAGAAAATTAAAAAATATTTATAGACATATTATTAGAATAAAATAATTTAGTTAGATGGCTGAACATAGACCTACCTACAAAAAAAAAAACCTTTTATCAGCAAAGAATGAAAAGGAAAAATATACCATTTAACAGTAACAAAAATAAGGTATAAAAAAATTAAATCTAACAGATTTGAGACACACTGGGTAGTGCAAATGGTTAACTTGACTGACTGCTAATCAAAAGGTTGGAGGTTCAAGTTTATCCAGAGGTACCTAGGAAAAAAGGCCTGGTGATCTACCTCCACGAAATTAACCACTGAAGACCCTATGGAGCACAGTTCTACTCTGATACACTTGAGGTTACCAAGCATCAGAATCAACTCTACGGCCATTAGTTTGTTTTTTGTGGAGAAAAATTTACAAAAATAGGTATTAAAAGACCTAAATAACTAGAAAGATATACCATGTTCAAGGACAGAAAAGCTCAATATCATAAAATAAAGGAATTTATTAAATACACAGGTAGTTTAAGTTACAGAGCTTTCAGAGTCACACAAGGCAAGTACTACTCTTAAAAAATGGTTTTTGAATTTCTGCATAAATCAAATTATCTCTTACTCACGGATAGTTTTGGAACGGGTTGTTGTTGTTATTGTTGTTTGCCGTCGAGTCGGCCCCGACTCATAGCAACCCCTCCTTGGGTTTCCGAGGCAGTATCACCACAGAAGTAGGATTGCCCAATCTTCCTTCGGAGGAGTGGCTGGTGGGTTTGAACCGCCAGCCTTCTGGTTAGCAGTCAAGTGCCTTAGGCACTATGCTACCAGTATATAAACTTATTATTAGTCACTAATCACAGATGCTGTACTTTAAGTAAGTTGCAGTGATAGTTTATGTGTTGTTGTTGTTGTTATGTGCCGTCGAGTCAGACTCGACTCATAGCGATCCCTCCTTGGGCTTCTTGGACTTCCCAGGCAGTATCACTACGGAAGTAGATGGCCCAAGCTTCCTTCTGAGGAGTGGCTGGTAGGTTTAAACCACCAGCCTTCTGGTTAGCAGTCAAGTGCCTTAGACACTACGCTACCAGAGCGCCTGATAGTTTATATAGCACTTTAAAATTCTGATAGGTGTAATAAACAAATATGTGTAAAGAAGAAATGAGTGAAGTGCAAATGCTTGAATTCTGACTAGCTAAATGGCTGTGGTCCCATTGGTTCAAAGGTCAGTCAGTGACGCATATCTGCCATAGTTTAAGTTCTGAGATCCATTACTCTTAATAATGAAATGTTGCCAACATTTTACATAATACATAAGGTTTTTGATTCCTGGTAATTGTTTGTCAACATTACCAAAATAAAGTCTCCTTAAAAGCTATCTGAAAAATGTAGACATCTAGTCCAAATACAAACTGTACCAACAAGGAGAAAAAAGGGCCAAACACATTCATAATACAATGACTGGATGTTTTGAATTCTTGTATGAGGCTAAAAGGGTATTTTTAGTGAACCTATGTATGGTCCTTCTACATGCGAAACCTGTAAGCGGTTCCCAATTTGCTTTACAGTAGATATGAACTTATCAGATGTTTTATGATTCTTTTCAGGTCTAACTTAACTCAAATTTAATCTTACATATAAGTTTGGTGATGCCTGAATTTTGCTTTATCCAGATTTCTTAATAGAGAATGAGAAATATTGTATTTGTACATATAATGGGTTCATGTAAATAATGCATATACATACTTAACACAGAGTACATAAGAAACTAACGCATGAGGTGTTTGCGGGTCTGTGAAACAAACGAACCCAACAACCATATAATATGCATGTTATTTGTGTAAAAACATGATAATGATCATTTGCTTTACTAATTGCTAGGAGATGATAATGTTAATAATAATAATTGAATGCCTACATATCAGGCTTTGTACATATTAAATAACTTAATATTCACAACAACCCTATCAGGTTGATATTACTATCACCATTTTCCAGACAAGAAAACTGAGGTACAGAAAAGTTAAGTAACTTTCCCAGTGTCACACAACAGTAAGCGAAAAAGCTAGGATTCTTACCCAGGCAGTCTGGCTCCAGAGCCCAGATTCTTAATTACGACATCATATTGCTTTTCACAATATTTAAAAGACATACTAAATTATTATAAAGGACCAAAAAACACCCACCATGAAAAAATTATCTCTAAGAGTTAAACAACAGTTAAACAATGTTAATGACAACACAACTTATCACAGATTGATACTGCACAGCTATTTCAAAGTTCATGGCCATGATTAATAGTTTTGAAGTTGGACAGACCTGGCTCTGAATCTTGGCTGTCCCCTTTAAAAGCTGTATGACTTTGGACAAGTTTCGTAACTTCGCCAAGCCTCAGTTTCCTCATCTGTAAAATGAGAAAAATAAATATCTCACAAACTTGTAACACAACTGTTGCTGTTTTACACTAACACAGTAATTCCAAACAAGACACAGGTACACAAAGAGAGGAGGAGGTTCACAATTTCCCCCAAAAAACAGGACTTTATTACAATGACATAATGAAGATGACTGCTCCAAATCACTGTAGCAACTGTAAGATCCATACACTACTGCAGAACCACAATTTCCCATAATATGTAACAATGAATTCACCTAGATAAAAGTCAAATACCTATAGGTACATTACTGGATTTTTGAAATATAAAATATTGCATATACCTAAGGAGAGAGACAGACAGACAATGCTGCTTGTTGCAAACATCCACAAATCCCTCACTACCCATATGTCCCTTCTAAGACTAGTAAAATTCAAGGGGCCCAGAAGAGGGAAAGAGCCATTCCTACCACAGGTAGGAAAAAATAAGTGTTCTGGTTACCTGGCACCGCTCTGACAAGAATATACCACAAATGCGATGGCCTTAACAAACAGGAGTTTATTCTCTTACAGTTCGGGAGGCTAGAAGTCTGAGTTCAAAGTGCCAGGCTCTAGGGGCTATGTGAAAGCCCCTTTGACCTTGGGCTTCAGCTTTGCCTCCTGCTTCCAGCCCACTGAAGTTAGGCATCTCTTCATTCAAGCAGCCACTGAGGCTAACAAGCCCAAGGTTGACAAATAAAATGACACAGTCCCATTGTTACCAAACCACACGGCAGGCCATTCATTCAAGTCCATTAAAGTCCCAAGGTCAGCAGAGTAGGCTGCTGAGCAATGACACAGATACATGCAGGGTTCAAGTGTGCCATAAACTAGAGACCCAAAGCTGTTTCTTACATACAGGAAGCAGACCACAAACCCAAAGCAGCTACTCAGATGCTCCAATAGATACCACCATGGAGTTAATTACCAATCTCACCATGGGGAATAACTACATCGAGCTGCCCAACCACTCAACGAGGCCCAGCCAAGTTGACACACAAACGTAACCACCACAATAAGTAATTAAAAAGAAAGAAAGAAATGTACATGTCATCAAAGTAGGGTGGAAAATGGACCCAGAGGTCACCAGAAGACAAGGAAAACATTTAAAACAACCTAGAGAATCTCCACGTTTAATTGTAGTATCACAAACATATCCCCCTTTTTCATGTAAACTTCAATGGAAAATTCTACTACATTCTCTTCTAGAATTTGCTAAGTAAACAGTAGTTCTACACAATTTGAAGAATGTATTTGGCTTTAAATTTATTTTCTTGTTTTGTATATGTCTTTCTGCCCTCAAAGAAACATAAGGCTGGCAAAAGGGTTCACAATTACAATTATGGAACTGAGATTTCACTTAAAAAAATGAAAGTGATCACAACAAAGAGATTATCTATTCAGCTTACATATTAAGATCTCAGATTTATGGACAAATTACGTAAGCAAAAATAAGCTATGGAATGGTATTTATGGTAAAAACAAGAAACCTGGGAAGTTTTTAATTTAATAAGGCAATTCAGATAAAATATTTACAAGAGCACCTACTATGGGAAGCACAATTACAATATGCATATTACCAGGAGTACAATAAAATAATAAGACATAATCTTTAACTTCTAGGTTCTCACAGTCAAGGAAAGCAATATAAACATACTATATGATGGGGACACTGTAAATGTTTTAGGAGAGGCACAAATTGTTATGTGCTTTAAGAGGGGGATGAGATCACTGAACTAGAGTAAATGAGGAACAACTTCATGAAAGATAGAGCATTTGAAATAAATCCATAAAGCAGGATTCTAACAACTCTAACTTCTGAATATTAAAAACAATTTAAACTAAACAATTTTCCATCTGTTATTGTGGAGGTATTTATTTTCTCTTCTTGTTATTTGCCATCAAGTCAGACCCGACTCATAGTGACCCCTCCTTGGGTTGCCAAGGCAGTATCACTATGGAAGTAGATTGCCCAACCTTCCTTCCAAGGAGTAGCTGGTGAATTTGAACTGCCAGCCTTCTGGTTAGCAGTCAGGTACCTTAGGCACTATGCTACCAGAGTTCTTATTTCCTCTTAGTTACTGTTAAGATGGAGGATGGAAAATGAGAATATACCAAATAATCTAAGAAAGTATGTTCAAAAAATGAGTTGATAGTGACAGCTATAAATTCTATATCTCATTTACTTTCAAGTATTAGTTTAGAATTTTATATTAAGAAACTTGAAAAATTAAGAGAAATATATAGCATGTCAGATAACCGAGACAGCTAATCACTCATTCACTTATTACTAATACTTTAGAAACCTCTAAAAAGAAGAGTCACTGCCACTGGGCACAAAATTAGCTCTTAAAACTATGGCAAAAGACACAGAGGCATATAAAATGAGTTACACAGAGCTAGCTAATAGAAGAAAGCCTAATAGTTTGCCCATACCTGTTCCTACCTCCAAGAGAAGAACTTATTATATGAATATTTATGAAAAAAGATACTAAAAATGTATCTTTAATAGATTTCAAAAAATACAAAAATCTTGATTTTGTATATTGTATTGAAGTATAACACAATGTGTAAAGTGCACAGCTCATAAGTATACAGCTCAGAAGTAAACAGCTCAATGGGAAACTGCAGTAAATGTCATGAGACAAAATGTGTTATGAACTGCTGTACTGAAAATTAATTTGCTCTGTAAACTTTCACCCAAATCAAAATAAAAATTTTTTTTAAAGTATACAGCTCAATTAATTTTCACACACAAACACAAAACACTCATGTAACTAGCACCCAGATCAAGAATAGAGTATTAGTAACACCGCAGAAAGCCCCTTTCACTGTCTCCTCTTCTAGTCACTACCATCCCCCTCTCCCACCAAAGATACCATCATCTTGACTTCTATTATCACAGACAGCATTTTGCTTATTTCTGAATTTTATAAAAAAGAATCATATAACATGCTCTTTTGCATCTGGCTTCTTTCATTTAACATTAGGTTTATGAGTTCATCCACATTGCTGCCTGCTTTGGTGATTCCTTCATTTTCTTAGATAGGTTTCTATTGTTCACAAAGTGTTTTGTTTGCTTTTTTGATCAGTCCTTGACAAAAGCTGATTGCACAATGTTTAGACCAGGGCTTCGAATCAATTTGAACCAGTTCAGTCACAGCTGATGCAACAAAATTGGAACACATGCAAATTTGTAAAATATGAGTATACCAGAAAGATAACCAGAATACAAAAAATTATGGGTCGAAGCCCCGGAATGGGAGACTCAGAAGAGGTATAGTGGAAGACTGGATTACCACCAGGACTGTGAAGAGCAATACACATTCAAAGCAGCGCAGATGGCCACCACCTTTGAGTCAAGTCCTGCTGTTTCTGACTCTGCCAATCAAGAAATTTGGTTGCCATGCTACATACAGGCTGCTTTTGTTTTCTAAAGATTAAACTTCTAGTAGGGCATCGACCTATCATTTTTCCATTCTGGTATACCCACCGTGGTAGTTAAGGTTGTGTGTCAACTAGGTTGAGCCATGATTTCAAGTGGCTTGGCAGCTGGATGTAATTATTTCCCATGATAAGAATGGATGTGGTGTAATTACCTCCATGGTGGAATTGATTGTGAGCAGTTAATTACTTGAAGGGGCCTTGCGTTCAGGATGTGGTCTGCTTCCAGTATACATGGAAAGGATCCTACATTTGGCTCATGATTCATGATCTCCAGTTCCTGGACTCAGGCCAGTGATCTGCAGTGCTGCCTGCTGATCTTGGGGAGATTGCTTCCACAGCCTGTGGGCCAGCAATCTGCTATTCTACCTGCCAATCATAGACTTGTCAGCCTCAGCAGCCAGTGGCTGTGTGAGTCAGGAAGAGCTTCCATCTTGTTTCAGTGGGCCTGGAAGGCAGAGATGAAGTCCAAAGTTCAGGGGCTTCCACCCAGCCTCTAGGGATGGCACTCTGAACTCAGACTCCTAGCCTAGTCTTCCACTAGAGCCAGCACTCTAAATTCAGACTTCTAGCCCCCTAAAGTGTAAGAGAATAAATTTGTTTGCTGCAAGCATGGACTTGTGGTATTTCTGTTATAGCAGCACAAGAAACTAAGACACCCACATTTTACAAATCTGGGTTTGTTCTGGTTTCACTTCGTCAGCCATGATTGAACCAGAAAGAATCAGTCTGAAGCCCTGGTTAGTTGTTGTTGTTGTTGTTAGGTGCCACTGAATTGGCTCCAACTCATAGCAACCCTATGCACAACAAAAGGAAACACTGCCCGGTCCTCCACTAGCCCTGATTGAGACAGACTTAAATTAAAATTTCAGTCCCATCAGTGTGTCATTAGGCAATTTACTTTGGATTCTCAATTTTTCATTATTAAAAAAGGAATAATAAAGCTTAGATAATATGTTATGAGGTTTAAATTAGAAAGCAAATATACAGTAACTGGTACAGAGTAGACATTTTTGCAAAATATTAGTTCCCATCTTTTCCTTCTCCCCAGTCATGGTGAAGTTATACTACTGGCAGCCCCACATACACTGTGCTTTCCTACTTTCTGCCTTCATCCACATACTTCCCTCTATCTACAATACTTTTTTTTTTTGGGGGGGGGGCACCTTTCCCATATTCTAATCATCTGTCCTACAAAATAATGCTCATGCCACCTCCTCTGTCTCCCCTGCCACTTCACCTATGTTTACTCATGCCATTTAACACTATCCATCTTGTACTGAGTTACCTTCAACTAAGTTACTTGAGGAAAAATTTAACTGATTTACCTTCACTCTTTCTACTACACGGTACACCTAGCAAGCACTCAAATATTTGTAGAATAAAAGTAAATATCATTATTCTAGATATATCACTGCTATCAAAGAGTAATTATGTCCATTCCTATCTGGCATTTTACTACTCAAAATGAGATACACATATCAATACTGCATGCTTCGGGATCTCAAGCAAATACTTTTGCAATAGACGTATTTCTATCAATACCT